TAATTCATCAAAAACCAACAGCGCTTGTTTCCGATAAAACATTAGAAAAACTTTAAACTGTGTAAATAATTTTCTACGACATATTATCTAATTATTTTTGACTAGTTTCCGATAAAACATTAGAAAAACTTTAAACTGTGTAAATAATTTTCTACGACATATTATCTAATTATTTTTGACTAGTTTCACTTCCACATTTCACGAAGCAGCATACTACGAAATATTTGAATCTGAAAATTTGTATTCCAAAATACATGCAAGCAATAGCGGTGTATTTCTAAGTTTTTACTTGTGTATTCATGGCAAAGTTACTAAAGATTTAATCTATGGCCGTTCTTAATCTTGAATTACTGACCAGTTGTTGGTCAGTAGTATCCCATCACCCATCATGCGCACTAAGTGATTGAATGTCATTCTTATAATCCACCCATAGCTTAAAACGAGGAGAATGTTTTGTGGTATATCATGGATTCGAACCCGGTCAGTAGTATCCCATCACCCATCATGCACACTAAGTGACTGAATGTCATTCTTATAATCCACCCATAGCTTAAAACGAGGAGAATGTTTTGTGGTATATCATGGATTCGAACCCGTCTCACTACCTCCGAAATCCAAATCTCTACCATAGGGCCAACCCGCACCTCTTGATTTTCACAATGTTAGCTAAAGTATAATAACATAACTAAGCTCAAAAACTAAACTGTTATCTAAGTGGAAAATATCGTACCGAAGAGTAGTTTGTTAAATTCAAACTATTTGTAAAATAAACGTCTTTTCTAAAATTATTTAAGGCAGCACTGACTCCAATATTTCAAAAATCACATTTGTCAAATTTAGCTTAAATCGAAAGTTTAACCTCTTTACTACATAAATAACTCATTTTTATCTTAACGGCTATTTTCACAAAACGCAATTTTCACTGGGTTCACCAATTTATTAGCATGATAACTTCACCATTAAACCAATATCAACATGAAATTTAGCACACTTGTTGATATTACACTCTTTCAAAACTTGAATTTTGTAAAATTCATATATCTTTACCATTTGGCTTATTATGAGTCTAATTACCACTAACGAAAGCATTAATTAAAGTTAATTGTCCATAGCTCGTTAACGTTGCAGAAAACTGGCAAAGTTTTTAATTCAAGCTATGAAGATGTTCAAGAAAGAGCATGTGTATTAATTTTCACATGTTTTTATCATTCCTAAGTAAAGTTATGGTGTTAAAACAGTTGATGTTATGTATTTCTTTATCCCTGCCGCCATAATAATGTATATGATATACATATATGACTGAAAGTGTACTTTCAAAGATTGCGATATTATACTTTTGTTTTGTGCTCAACTTGAAGGTTATAAGTAGTGTTTATTCAGCATGTAAACTTGCCCAGTTTTAAGGATCAATGCTACCTTAAAAGCCAAACAGCAAAACCTAAATGTTTATCTGATAATCACATTTTTTATAGATGTAAAAAATAATTTGGCAAAAATCCCGCCACCCTTAAAACAAAACAAAAACACCAACAACAATAAAAAACAAAAACGAATAGGCGTCATAACAACAAAGCATAGTCAAAACAACGCTAAGTATGTGAGGTTTGTTTACTCTATTTTTTTTTCTCTCTCTCTGAATTTCTGAAATCGAAAAATAATCGTGTTAGAGCATAAACGACGGAAAATTTTTGAGGTACCAAAGTTTCAAACTTAAATGAACTATATTACAAGTTAAGATCATGTATGTTAATGCCTCTTTAATTCATGAACGAATAAGATGGGTTCGTGTTCTCAACTTCAATTAACACATGTAAGTGTATTTTAAGTTTATCTTATCCATCTTAAATTGCTTTCTTAATGATAGAATTAAAACTTTAACAAACTTTAGTTTGTTCGATTGGTGTAAACGTAAGCTGAGACTCTTACCTCAGAAGTTTGGAAACTAACGAACAGACAGCTCAGATCCTAGGATGAAATATGCTGTTGTTTCGGATGCAAGACTGGAAGGGGACAAGTATTTGAGGATAGTTGATTGTCGTTCATAGTTATATAGTGTAAAATAACTGTGGTGGCGCTACAGTCGCAGCCTACGCCTGGAGTGTCTGTCGCGTATAATATAGCAACGAATGAGGCTCGCTGAAAGAATCTTACAGTCATAAACACGTTCAGATCAGGCAAAAGAGAAAGCCAAGCTGACAGAACAGAAAAGTATCATCAAAATAGGGGGATAATCTCCTTCTCGGTCATAAACAGCCCAGTTGGATTTGAATCTGAAACTCGTTATTTTTCTTTTTAAATCTCGACCAATAGAGCCTTTTGATACTGATTTGGAAAAAATAGATAAATAACAACCTCAAAAAAAAAAAACAACCTCCGAACCTACATTTAAATAAACAAAACACAAAATTGTCGTTAAAATAAAATTGTGAACTCCGTTTTCGTTTCTTACATTATTTTAAGAGCTTTGATTTGTCCATGAGGATACATTAGTGCAAAAATAATTCAAAATCAGATAAAAAAACTGGTTTTTGAAAGTTTATCCCAAAGTCTAAAGTAGCGAATACGGAGTTTCTCCGCTCCAGAATGAAGAGTTCGTCATCGTGTGTTTTAGATATCCGTGCAAAGCTACACAGGGACTATTTTCGCTAACCACACCTAATTTTGTACTAATAAACTAGAGGAGAAACATATATTCCACATCACTCACCGCCAACTCTTGAATTGTTTTAATCGAACAATAGAATTTAACTGTCACTCTTATTGCTCACTTATAGCCCCAAAATGCGGAGCGAGCTTTTAAAATAACGGGACGTAAACCATGGACCTTAGGATTCACAGTTCGGTATTCTAGCCACTAAGCCACGTCACATCCAATGTTAAAAAAACGTGAGCGTTCCTTTTTTTTCCATTTATAAATTTTGGATCACAAGTCAATTTATATCAGTATTGTAATTTTGTTAGGGGATACACTGAAAAGGTGCAATGTGATATAATTGAAATTTAGATTGTTTTAAAACAAAATTTTAAACCCATAAAATGCAGAACTTTGCGTCACATATTCAATACATTATTGGATTCAGTATGTTAATTTAAAACAAAGCAATAGCCAGGTTGTTAGGGCGCTCGACTTACTATCTGCGTGTCGCGGGTTCGAATCCTCATCACACCAAACATGCTCGCCCTTTCAGCCGTGGGGGCATTATAATGTGACGGTCAATCCCACTATTCGTTGGTAAAAGAGTAGCCCAAGATTTGGCGGTGGGTGATGATGACTAGCTGCCTTCCCTCTAGTCTTACACTGCTAAACTAGGGACGACTAGCGCAGATGGCCCTCGTGTACCTTTGCACGAAATTCATAACAAACAAACAAAAACAAAGCGATTTACGCTGAAATTACGGTTTAGATTTATGTTTTATGTTTGTTCTGTCACTCAATGGTACAGCGGTATGTCTTCGGACTTACAATGCTAGAAACCGGATTTCAATGCCCATGGTGGGCAGAGCATAGATAGCCCATTGTGTAGCTTTGTGATTAATTTCAAACAAACGAAATTTTGTGTTTAATTACACATAGAAAAAATGTTTGTTCTTCTTTGGAAAAGAAGGAAAATTCAAAACGTATCTTTTGCTGGCTTGTATTATGGCTAAAACTACGACAAATGTTCAATACACATCAGACCAGACATAACTAAATAATACAATAAACTTTCTGTTTATTCATTGTTTAAGGAACCTTACGATATGGTATTAAATTATCAAATGACTTTTAGGTGCGTCAAATCATTATACTACATCATTAACATGCTGCTAATGTGAGCCAGTAGCAATGAAATATGCTTTAAAAGCATCAAACCAATATTACTAAAACGTAATATGAAGCATTTTTATACCAGTACGAACCAATATTATTGAAATATAATTGTATTTTTTTTCATAGCAATATGAATCAGAATCCCCAAAATGATATTTGAAAGTTATTATACCTGTCTGAATCAGAATCCCCGAAATGATATTTAAAAGTTATCATACTTGTATTAATTCCTCAGTATCATTGAAACAGACTTTGAAAATTAGCATACCAATATGAATCAGTAACTTCGAAATACTATTTGAAAAGATATTGAATGAGTTTGAAGCAACAAGCTCTTACAATATCCTTTGAAAGTTATAATAACAGTATGAACTAAATTTTGGTTGAGATGGCTTACAATCATATTCGGCTCTCAAAAAATATGAAAATGTGTACATATGTCTGTCGTTATCAACGGACACTGGCCATTTCGGGCAGGACAATGAGGAACAATATTATACATGTGTCCACCAAGTTTAAACAAAATCCGATCATTTTTGACTGGGTTATACAGCTAAAAATAATATGCAAAATCCGCCCCCATGTTAACAGATAGGGTTTCTTTGGATTTTCGTGACATTGTTTTTGAGCTTGATCCTCCAAAAACTAATCACTTGTAAGTTGGGTCATAGTCCAAATGTATACGAACTTTCGTCCAAATCTAAAGAGCCGTTTTCGAGAAATATTACTGATAAACACACACACATAGGGGTGAAACATAACCTCCGTCCACCTTCCGTGGCGGAGCTAATTAACTTTGCGAAATAATAATTAATAGTGCCATTAGATACTTTGCAAGACGCTCCAGAGTAATTTCCTAAGCGGCGCCATCTGTAGCTTGTTTACTCTTCTCCATACGAAAATTATTATTTGGTTCAATACTTAGAATATATTTTACTTTAGTTTCTAATATTCGCAGACAAATTCATACTTGGTCTCACTTTAAAATATTCATACCATCAAAAGAATAAAAATAATAACTGTATCACGTTTTCTAGAAAATATTAAAATAAATGTTTTAAAACAAAGAACTTTATAACGATATTAGTTTATACTCTTAAGTAAAGTGTTGTGTGAAGACAGCAATATTATACTGGGGAATGCATTTTCCACATATAAACCAGTTGGTTCGTGGTATTTTCATAAATACAATGTTCTTTCAAAATATTACATAAAAGGATAAATCAACAAACTAAAAAGAAGAGTAATGGGCATGCGCAATGAACTTTGTATAGGCCAAAGTTTGTACCTTTAGAATAATTCCGAACAAATGTTAAGAAGAGAATGGTGGAAAACAGACACCGAAATTTACTCCTTTTAAATTATATTTTTGGATGTTCTTATAAATGTTTGTACGAATATAAAAGAGAAGTAGTTCATTAAATGCTAAATCGCCAGAATTAAGTCACAAAATATATTTATTTGTGATTTAGGTATATTTTCCAGTTTGATTACATTATGCTTTATTACACTGATAATAATATCAATTTCTAAGATACAATTTGTAATGTATTTTTAGCATCATAATAGTTAAGAATTATAAATACTACTAATGAATATAATATTAGAACTGTTTTTAGATGACTTGTGTTGGTATTATTACGTTGAATATGAAAATATAATGCTATTGAACTATGACTGTACATAAGCCTGTTCATAAGAGTAATACATTTCAGTTTCCAATACTACTTCTATGATAATTCGCTTAAAAAACATCTTATTTATAGCTACCCATATGATCCCAGGAATCAGTAGAATTGTAATTTATGGGAAGTCTTAGCTTGCCTGGAATTAACACACAAACATATGTTGTATTATCTGAATAGAAATTATTGTAATTATTAATAATTATTGTCAAATATGTCGGCAAAGAAAGGTTCTCAATTTATTATATCCTGCCTAGTATGTCCAGGTGGTTAGGGCGCTCGACTCGCAATCTGAAGATCGAAAGTTCGAATCCCTGTCCCACCAAACATGCTCGCTCTTTCAGCCGTGGGGACTTTATAATGTGACGGTCAATCCAACTATTGGTTGGTAAAAGAGTAGCCCAAGAGTTGGCGGTGGGTGGTGATGACTAGCTGCCTTCCCTCTAGTCTTTCACTGCTAAATTAGGGGCGGCTAGCGCAGACAGCCCTCGTGTAGCTTTACGCGAAATTCAAAACAAACCAAAACAATTCTGCGCGTCAGAAATGGAGTGGGATCTGAATAACAAGTATGAACATGTCATATATTGTATATTGTGTTCAATCAAAAATGATTAGTGCCATATATTCTTTTTCAATCATAGATAGCCAATGTCACACATTTTGTTTAACAAACGATGGTCGACGTCATTGTTATATGTTCTGTTTGAAAAATGATGATAGATTTGGACAGTCCCCCAGTGGCACAGCGATATGTCTGCGGACTTAGAACGCTAGAAACCGGGTTTCGATACCCGTGGTGGGCAGAGCACAGATAGCCCATTGTGTAGCTTTGTGCTTAATTCCAAGCAAACAAACAAACAAAGATTTGGACAATCAAGTCAGTTGTTACAGTTTAAGTAATGATTATAGAGGAACATTATAAAACAAAAACCACATATCTGAAACTACTCTATCTTAAGACTATCCCTCTCAGGGAAACTAAATTTCATCAAAAGCACATTGATAATCCTAACGTTTATTTAAAAACGAGATTTTAGATAATATACAATTTTGTAATTTGGTTTATAATACAGTTGATTCAGGTATTGCAATGACAATACAGTTAATCGTTAGCTGTATATATATATATATATATACATACACACATATATAAGCTATAAGCTCTTGTACAATTTTTGAGGAAGAAGAAAGTATTTTACAATTTTAGCAAACAATCACACAGTGAAGAAAGAAAAACATCCCAATTTATTAAGCTTTATATAAGCAGCTTGTAAAAGCACGAAAAGAACAGCGTAAACAACTGGTATTTAAACCCACAGTGTCAGCTGCCCACATTAGACTTGTCTGCTGTGGCGTGGGAGGTTCTTTGAAATCTGGATTAATTTGTCATGATACTGTAAAAAACAAAAATAAAAAGAGAGAAAAAAAAAACAGAACATAAAATCTTAGTTTTTCTTTAAGCTCCATGAAGCGACGAATGACGTGTTTTACTGTTTTTGTATATTTATTTTTTAGTAGTAG